TTTTGAAAGACAGAATATTCTACAAAATATCTACAAGAGACAAGATAGCGACGATAATAAGGATGACTTTCTGGAAGAAAATTGTACCACTCTCAATTTAAATAAAGCTCTTAAAGCTGCAGAAATGCGGAATGTTTCTTAGAATAATTTCCGGTTAGTACGACGCAATATCACCGGTCCCTTGGCCGTCGTTATAACCGGATTCTACTGTATTCTCATTTGAAAGCTGTATAATTAATTAAACAATCTTTGTTTAAACAAATTATTTTTTTTAATTTATTTTATGAAACATTTATAAAAATGAACTTCACAACAATATAATCTTATGATGTTATTAGATTTAATTAATAGAATTTAATTAAAAATTATTATTTATTTCATATAGAAAGGCAGTTGATGGAAAAATACAGGAATGAAGAATACTGTGCTCCTGAGCCCCTGTGAATCCAAGGCATGCAAGTCTTTGCACCTTGCTTTTGAAAATGGTACTTTTTTGCTTCACCTTTGGTCACCATAGCACTGATGCATACGTATTATCATCATGTTATAAATCCAATATAACATGTCTGGTTTTAAACCCCACATTTTTCCATGAGTGCATCTGTCTAACATTAACGTAGTTAACGCTATCTTGGTTATTCTTCATATCAGCAGATTCCAAGTAAGCTTTGAATCTATTATCCCAAGATACTTTACTTAACTCACCAATTTAAGATATATACCATTTAGGCTTAGAGGACACAATCCCTCTAAATTCCTCATTCGGCTAAATTTCATTATTTTGGACGTCTGAATGTTAAGTTCTATATTTAATGTCGGTTTTGTAATAACAGTCAGAGTTTGTTGCATTTTACCTCATCTCTCACTGTGCTAATGAATTTGCTGCAGACTACGATGAACAGATCATCCGCTTTGCCTAGGACATGATGTTTATTTGCAGAGTCTATCTATCACCCTATACATGACCAGATTCCCACATAGTAGATAAAACACCCCCTGCGGACACCTTCTGGCTACTTGTGCTGATACTGTATCCCCCAGCAACGTTACGTGTATTATACTGCCCTCTATTACTGTACGTCTATTATACACGCCATTTGTTCCTAGAAACATAAGTCATAGTATCCAATCCAGTTTGTTCCCATGTATCTAGTGCTATCAGTTATGTTTTATACTTAAAAAAGTGAATCTTGAAAAGTTCTTTCAGGGTCTCTTCACCAGGGTCTCTTCACCATTCTGAGCATATTAACCCGACTCTTTCGGAGCTAGGGGATACTTATTTGGGGGCCCTTTGGGAGAACCTAATTTTTACATTACGAAACACAAAAATCTAAATACATACTTAAAACATTAATATCGATTACACCACAATAGTGTCAATACTTTTAAATTTAATTTTATATAAAAATAAAAACAAAAAACTGGGAGTAAAACCTTCGGTTTCATAATTTTCATATAACATATCTTTTAATAACATATCTTTTAACCCTTAAACAACAATGTGGGGTCTTTTTGGGACTCCAGGACCATATTGTTCAACCTCTAGTTGAATAATGACCAATTTTATCTCAGTTTTAAGCTTTTTACAGAACATCTAATACCTTCCACCAAGTTTCAATAATTAACATCCATGAAAACTTTATCTTGATCAGCGGGGTCCCTGGAGGACTCCGTGTATTTTACAATACATATTTGGATATGTATTGTTTTTTAATTTTTGGCACTAATTAAGGAATTTAAGTTTGTTATAAAATTATCAAACGATCTAGTACACACGAGACTAGTTTTAAGTGACCTTTACATATTTCTTGGAGAACTTATAGAGGAGGAAGTAAAAAGACGCAATAAAATGTATAGTTCAAAATGTGGACGTGCGTGGAGCTGTGACGCTCCGCTTCCATCTCGACGTTCTTGGAGAAATAAATATTGTTATTACTACCAAACCAGGACCAACGGCATATGGTAGGAATGTCAATGAAATATTTGAGATTTTTTAACATTTTCTTAACTCATGACACAAAGGCAAATATCTGTGAACATACCAACCAAGAAGCAACCCGCATAAACCGAATATATAGTGAAAAAAATCCGGAGAAACAGAACATATGGAAATATATTAATATTATAGAACTCCTTGCATTTATTGGAGTTTTGATTACAGCAAGAGCTTTGTTGTCAAAAAGATAACGTTACAGAAATTTGGTTGACAGAGTGGTAGAAGTCAGTGAAGAAAACGGACTGTCCCTAAACGCAAAAAAGACACAATTTATGGTAATTACAAAAGCCCAACAAAGCATAACAATACATGGAGAACAAATTAAAAAGTTCAAAAATATAAATATCTGGGTATAATAATTAATGAAAATAATGAGAACACAGAAGAGATTAAGGCAAGAATAGGACAGGCAAGAAATTCTTTCGATAAACTGAAAAAAGTACTCTGCAGCAGGGACATTTCAATATCTTTAAAGATAAGACTTCTGAGATGCTACGTGTTCTCCGTATTATTTTATGGGTTGGAGGCTTGGACTTTAAAGAAAGATGTTTCGGACAGGTTGGAAGCCTTCGAGTTATGGGCCTACAGAAGGATATTAAGAATAAGTTGGATAGATAAGAGTCACGAGTGTCGAGGTGTTGAGAAGAATTTGTAAAGATAAAGAGGTCTTAAATACAGTTAAAGTCAGAAAACTACAATATCTGGGACATGTTATGAGGGGCGAGCGTTATAACTTACTGCAATTAATAATGCAAGGAAGAATAAAGGGTAGAAGGAGTCGCGGAAGAAGACGCATCTCCTGGTTGAATAATTTGAGAGCTTGGTTTAACTACACTTCTGCTGACCTCTTTAGAGCAGCGGTGTCGAAAGTGCGAATTGCCATGATGGTTGCCAACCTTCTTAGAGATGGCACGTGAAGAAGAAGACAGAAATTTGGAGTACAGATAAATCAATTCGTCGTAAGGAATGCATCAATGTCTCGTGTCAGATTTACTAAGGTAAGCAATTTTATTCGATTTCATGATAAATCGACAATATAAGAAAGGTGTGAAACACAAGGAGGCTGTTTTTAGAGACATGGGAACTTTTTGTTACGAATTGTAAACAGGCGTTTGTTCCCCATGAATAAGTAACTGTGGATGATCAGTTGGTAGCTTTTAGATAAAAGTGCCCATTCAAACAGTACATGATCTCAAAACCTGGCGTTGATAATGCCAATAAAATTATTCGCGAATACACTTGTGCTCGACACAGTTCTGTCTGGCCTGATCGACTGTTTATGAAACTTCTTGATATTACTGCTCTAAACAGTTTCGTCATATATGTAGCACAATGTATGTTCTGATTCACTTAATAAAAAATTTAGTTCTAAATGGGCTAACTGCTATAAATGTATCTGCTCAAACCATAAAAGCAGTTTCAGACATATCAAGTGTAATCTGCATTGCACTGAAAACAGTAATTAATTGTCCTATTTTAATTTTTTGAATTTTTTTTCTTTCACTTTTTTTAATTTTAATAAAGTTCCCAGGTCTTCACGTCAGTCTAAAGTTCTTCACGTCGTAAAAAACTGGTACAACTCTTATAACCGAAAATAGTGGTTTTCAAGCTGTGTAAGTTGATCTTGTTACATTTGTCCTTATTTCTAGGGCAACGTTGCCGGATCAACGAATATATTATATCAAACCAGCTTAAAGTAGGGCTGGGCTGTTCGACAGACGTCAAGTTTTTAGTATACTAAAAACTAAAACAATATCGATCATTCCCGATCAGTAAGTCACATTTATTTAAACATGCATCCTAAAAAGTTCTCCTAATAATTTTGTTATTTTCCATTATCTCAATTAAGTACCCACACATTGAATCGTGTTTTATTATAATTTATGAATAGATAATAAAAATGACAGATAATAAAAAAAATTAGACATGACTTTAAATTATTATGTTTAATTTCAAATCGAGAGGTGTCATTCGTTTCTCGTAAAGTGTAGCACAAAACTGTATTGAGTTTTAGAGGTTTAGAAGAGGTTTAGAGATTTAGAATAAATAAAACACACTGGAAAAATTAAATTTGAAATTAATACAAAATTAATAACTTTTACAGTGAACAAGTGTGGAATTTAAATATATGTATTACAATTCGAAATTGATGAAAGTGTACCAGTTTTATATGACGGGAAGTGTACATGTTAATAAGTTTTTTTATTTATTTTATCCTTAAAACATACATTTACTTAGTAAAAATTACATGTTTCCATAAAAAAATGATGTGGGGTCTCTGTGGGGATACTGTCCAGTGTAGATTATGTAACTCAAAGTTGTATCTGTGCCTTCATGTTCCGTTTGCATAAACAGTTCCAAAGAGTTTGCGTAGTATCTTTTTTTTTAATCAGATAGACATGATTTATCGAATTTTACTCGAGTTTTACTTGGACTCAGATTCACTTGAGTTTGTATGTAATCCCATTCTGTTAATTGCCTCTGTTAGGATTTCTGTTGTTCTTGTCTTGGTTCTCGTGATACCAGTCGTCAGCGCATGCTAATGATTGATTTATTAAATATAGTTCCTCTTCTGTCTAAACTGGCATCTCAAATGACGTTTTCTAAACCTAGTACATCCATGGGACTGAATAGGCTTGGTCTTGCAAGGTTGTTCTATGCTACTTTAAAATCGATAAACAAGTGTAGAACTCTTGCAGTTTTTCAAGATTTTAACGTAAAGGCATCATGTTATGACTCAAAACTGAAAAATTTTTTTTTGAGTGCTTGGAAGAGAAATTTTCAAATGTTGGCACCAAATTACTTCACATCGTTACAACTTAGATTTTTGGAGCTGTTTTAAAAAGCCCACAGCGAAGGTGTTGTGAATCCTAACGATGTTTCATAGCTAGGATTCGCACTAGACTGATTTATTTGATATGTTTTAATTATTAAGAGTTCTATGAACTGTTCTAAACATATTCTAATGCAACAAAAAATAAATAAAAAAGTCTGAAAAACTTACCCGGTCGCATATCGGATTTTGCAATTTTCTTTTCTATAGTTTTTGGTGAATGGTTTCTTTTATTTGGTTTGGCTACAAACGTTGGAGGTACCTGAAAAAAAAAGAAAATTTTATTATTTAACAAACTATAGTCAGATAGAAATTTTAGAATTGTAGAAATATAGGAAACTATGTTTTTCAAAAATAAAGAAATGTGTTGAAACAATACTCTTTGCTTCGCCTTTTCGGAAAGTAGTAAATATAATGTTGACATAATCAAACGGTGTTTAGTAAATTATATAAACAATCAAAGAAGTTTACCCAATGAAATCGCAGACTATATCGGAGAAATCACGCCCAGACTCATGATTGTCAACTAACTTATCAACTAAACCTTTAATTATATTGGCGTCAAACAGCGACCTGCGGGGCAATCATATTTATTAAAAACAAGGGCTGGAGATATAAGCTTTCCAGTATCTTGATTACAAGTTTCATCAAGTGCTTGGGGAATTATATTTTTTGAGGCAGATTTTAAATTATCCAATATTGGATAATTTAAGAAATTCATAGACGTATTAATTTCGTTCGGGTTGTATTTTTCCACCGAAATAGGTCTCATATCATCCTTATTTTCATTTGTGGTCTGAGATTGACTTATACTTTAGGAAAAAGCAGTGTGGAAAAAGTTTGTTTGACTTACGAATATTAATAACTTACATGTTTAAGTGAGAAGAGCTACATTCAGAGAGAATCTATAACCGTGCATTGCACAACTTGGAATATCGTAAAATATGTAAAAATTACTCTCACTTTCTAAAATCACTTTCTATATTACACCATTCTTCGTAATCTTTTATTCGCTATGTGTAAGTTCGGAAGAGCTACCCTAGTGGCCAAAATTCTGAAAACTTTACAAAAATTATCGTATTTTTAGCAAGACTCGTCTCATGATCATGATTTATATAATTTACCATTACAATTACATTTTTATTTTATTGTTTTATATTCCTGCATAATATTTTATATATTTCTCACTGTTTTTTTATTAACATCATTATTTAATAAAATATGAAACCAGATTCAGGCGAAACGCCGAAAATCCGAAATTTGTGAATGGCATCATTGGCAATACTGTATTGCGTCAGGGTTTTGCTAGTCAGTCAACAACCCAACAGGAAGCGGTTAGGTGGCCTTTAGTACAGTTTCGTGCGGCTTCCAGTATTTTTTAGTGACATCAGGTAGTTGTTACTAAGGTGATGAAACCAAAATCTCGATCTTTGGGAGTGAAGGAATGAAGTTTGTTCGCCGCCGACCGGGAGAAGACCTTTTACCCCAGTGTACTACGGTCACTATGAAGCATCCTGTGAGTGTCATGGTATGGGCTTGTATGACCACTAATGGAGTTGGACGTTTAGCACTAATAGAGAACAATATTAATGCAAAAAAATATCAGGAAGATATACTGCAAGCCAAACTGCTGCCGACTATCAGAGATTTGTTCGAAGGGGATGCCCAACAATGCATCTTCCAGCAGGATTGGGCGCCTTGTCATACGGCTAAGACTTCCATGGAATGGTTGAGAAACCATCATGTTACTGTTGTGCCTTGGCCTGGAAACAGTCCCGATCTAAATCCAATAGAAAATTTATGGTCAAGGCTGAAAGTCTTAGTATCACGCTGAAACCGAAGCAACAAGAGAGAACTGATAGAAGCCATTATTCAAAACTGGTTTAGAGTTATTACATCAGAAGATTTGGCTCGTCTTGTCAACTCTATGCCTCGCAGAATTGAGTCTGTCCTAAAAAACAAAAGTTACCTACCAAATACTAATTTTGTTGATAATAATCATTGTACCATTTTTTTTAATATATCTACTAATAGCTAACGGCTGTCGTTTTATTTATTTTTAAATTTTTAGAGGATATTCCCCCTTCAAATAGATGTTAAATATTAAGTAGAAGCATAAAACGATGTAATAAAATTATAGATAAACTTATAAATAACATAAGTCTTGTAAAAAAGAGGAATGCTGATAACAAAACTAAAATTTTTGAAAAGTTTCCAGAATTTTGGCCACTAGTGTACACCTAGTGTAATAGATCAGCGAAATTATTACCACTTTTAATATATTACTCGTATGTAAACTGCAAATAAAATGACGTAAATGACCTAAACTTGTTTATTTAATACAATAATTATAATTTATATCAATATTTGACTTTACGAAAATTTTTTAATAGAATTTTAATTGTAAAAATTGATAAGTATATTTTTTACGTTTAGATTTAATCATTTGAACATTAAAGACTTCTTCTTTGAGTGCCTCTCCTTTCGGAAATTGGATATCATTATGGCGATTCTAATTTTATTTACCGCGGTGTTGAATAATTCGTTAGTGGTACAGCCAAACCACTCTCTTAAATTTCTCATCCTTAGATTTTTCCTTGCATTATATTTTGTAGCAATGTGTACTTTTGTCCCCTCATCAGGTGGCCTAAGTATTCAAGTTTTCTCTTTTTTATATTCATGATAACTTCTGGATTGTTATTTATTCTGCGTATTACCTCTTCATTTGTAATTTTATCCATCCAACTTATTTTTAGTATACGGCGGTAGCACCACATCCCAAGATTTTTAATATTCCTGTTTAAGAATCCATGCCTCAACACCGTAAAGCAAAGTACTGAATACATAGCATTTTACAATAAAGACAGAGGTTATTAAAAGGTAAACATTTCGAAAGAGCGACACCTAGTGTCATAGATCAGCGAAGCTTTTAGTAAACTGGAAATAAAATGACTTAAACTTGTTTATTTAATACAATAATTATTGTAATTTACATTAGAAATCCACTTTTCTCTTTGCATTAATTTTTGCTTATAATTTGGAAACAAATAAACTTGAAATTGACTATTTCTTGTTGTATTTTACAATTTATAATACACTTGCGAAATCCCATTTTTTTCAATGATATTACTTATGAAATGCGCTAATAAAAAGTCAAGGTTTGCACAATCATCTGCACTCATTTGCACATCAAGTACTTGCACACAGTGAATAGCGTGAAATGAGTTGAAAAGGGGATAGTATTCTTCGGCTGATTAATAGCCAAAGTCAAGGCAACTTGATAAGGCACGTTAAAAAGAACCTTATTCTGTTTAGATTATGGGCGTCCATGGTTTAGATGATCAGTGTATCGGTCGTTCTTATGAATCATACAAATAGCGAGTTTTTATTAACAAATCATGATGTAGACGATTACATCTTCAGACCAAAAAGATCTATCATTCATCAAGTCTTTCATCCATCGAGAAATTAAGCTTGAAACTCTAGAAAATAATAACCATGAAATCGTCATAGCATTTTAATATTGACGTCAAATTGTAAAACAGACCAAAATATTCAATGAATTACTTACAGATTATGAATTATGTAATTTAAATTTACTTACTACTTTGTCACTGCGTTGGCCGCTCGGTAACCTTGCAACCATTGCTTCAGGACTATCTTCAGGAGGGGGCGGCTGAGTTATCCAGTTGTACTGTCGTTTGTCAAGCGGCAGTCCCCACCTTTCATATTCTAAACTTTGAGTTCTAAGCGTTTCGTAGCAATCGAGGCATACGACGGCGTAGTCGCTGTTTTCTAACAGTAGGGAGTGTTCGGGCTGCGGATGGAATTTCAAAAACGGAAAATCCTGAAAAGTGATAAACATAAGAATATGAGACGAGTCATAAATATTGCCTACGAAAATAATCAAACCCATAGGTTTTATATTATTTGAAATAGGCTAGTAAAAATGATCAAATGCATACAGTACTATATCACAAAGCTGAGTTGAACCGCGACCTGCCACCTAGAAGGAGACATGGTTATCTTACTCCCCTTCTATTGAGCAGTGTTGTCAGCTCATTGTTGTTTTTGCTAAAATATGTGTATGTTGATTAAGAAATAAAATGTAAATAATCTGTTTTAATTAATTTTTAAATCAATCGAAACCTGGCGATTTCTGTGAACAGATATGAGGAATCTACAATTTGCATTCCCCGCACTACTTTAATAGATGTGGCTGTAGCGTCTGTCTGTAATTGTTTTTAAATAATTACTAATATGACAAAAATGATTTCATTCATAGAGCTTACTACAGTTCGCTCTGATGATTTCATAAGGATGCAATACGTATAAGCGAATAGTGCCGCTCTGTACTGAAATTAAATCTTAACTTTTTTTTCGTTATTTTCTTATTTTAAAATGTTTAGACCTAGGTAAGATGATTCGGTTTCAGCATCAACTATTACTAATTGTTGACCTGAAATCAGTTGTAATCCTTCAGTTTTCCATGTATACTTTTTGGTATAGTTCGCATTAAATAATGATTCAGCAGTAAAACTAATAGTTTTATCACAATTTCTTAGTCTTTTATTCTTTCGTAAATGGCTCAGTCTTAAATTATTGAATAGGCTGCTTTTTGTAATTGCTTTTATGTGCTCTATTTGATTGCATGTAGATCCTTAGCAACTTGATGTTCACTTGACAGACTAACCTTAAAAAATATTCATATACAGTGAAGGTTACACTTTTAAAATACTATTTTTTTTATTTACCAAACGTCAGAAGTTTGTACAAAGCTTTTTCAATGATTCATATTATTTTCAATATTATTTATTTTTATTAAACAAAAACATCGACATGATAACTAAAGGTTGAAAAAGACATGGGACCCTACAGTGTGTCCGAAATTGGTATGTTTTGGAAGTTATAACGAAAACTAAAGGAGATAGGAAAAAAAGAAGCCTTCATGAAGTCATGAAGACTTCATGACTTCTTTTTTCGTTTAAGTACAACGACTGGTTAATCTAATCATCAATAGCTTCCCACATTAGTGAGATATAGGGCGATTAAGAAGTCATAAAATATTAACTACTTTTTTTCTATTTCCTCTAGTTTTCAGTTTTTACTACAAAACATACCAATTTCGGACACTTTGTACATTATTATTTAACAAAAGTAAAGTAATATAAGTAATTAGCTAAATGTTAGATAATTTAATTTGGCTATTTGAATTGGCTTCCATTTAACAAAATTGTAAAACAGAAAAACCAATTTTCTGTGAATCTAACCGAATATTAGGGAACAAACAGTACGAGATTCATTGATATACTGGCACCTATCTGACCTTCGCAGTAGGGATGTGTAGTTCACCATCGAAATAGTTCAAATGAACGATTCTTACAACTGAACTAATTGAACTAGTTCACTGCGGACGATTTGCATTATAAATTGTGTCTCAACTACTAAAGAAGAAAATAATGAATGGATGAATGAATGAATGAGTTATTATTTTGTGAATGAATGGACTAACTAGTTTTTCCACCCTCTATCTATACTATATAATATGATGTTCATCATTGCTAATCTGTTTTGTCAATATGAAGTTACAAAACTTTGACCAATTTATGAATCAGCAGAAACGCATAATGGAAAAAACAATCGCGTATCCTTACCTTAATAAGTAAAGCCCGCACTCTCTTCCTATAAGTCGTGATGCCGCACACGTAGCAGCAATAATCATGAGTATTATATTCTCTTTTTTCGGCTGGTGCACCCGCACCTTGACCTTCATACTTTCTCCATTGACTGACGAGACTGTGGTAACAAAAGGTACAAACTAAAGCAGATCCGTCTTCCCTTAACTGTTCTGCATTTGAATGACTTTTATGAATTAATAAAGATGGAAAATAAGGAGCATTTCGACCTAAAAAAAAATTAGTAAATGTTAATTATTTGTAAAATAAAAATATTATTATATTATATAAAAATATTATTTTTAAAACTTTTTTTATTCAATATGTTCCTAATATCTTACGCGATTCTATTAAGGCTGTTTTATCGGTGCACCAAAACCTAGGGACAGTGTTTTCTCTGTTATTTACCGACAAAATGTCTCGAAATTCGGAAACGTTATTCGAAATTATGTTGCTTTTAAAATGATAGTTTTACTTGTTTTATTTTTTTGAAACTTCTGTTGAAAAATTGGATTATACTGTTTAACGTTCTATTATAACCAAACTTTTTACGCCCATCACTTGAAAGAGTTTTTTTTTCTGTAATCGTTGACTTTTTTTCACCTTTCTGTTTCCAGTAATAATCGAGAAAAGCGTGTTCCAACTTTGGAGAAAATTGCTAAAAAATACTAAAATCTAATAGTGAAACGTGTTACTCATTATTGTCGCTTAGACTCATCGTTATCGCCTTCGTGACGTCATATCTCATGAACATACGGTCAGTTAGTTCATGTTAAAACTAATTTAAATGGAGAATAATGAATTTGTTGTTATTAAACTACTCGTCGGCCGGCGCCACAGAGCACAGATGCTCTGGCGTAAGCAGTGTAGAAACGTAAGTGACACGCCCATTTCAAATCGCAGTGTGCTTCAACTGCTAAAACAGCCTTAAGCTGTTAAAATGATAACTGTAGAAAAAAAGGGGTATGGACTACTATTCATTTGGTAATATTCAGCTTTTCGGAAAACACTCGAACAGGTCAACTTAATTTTCCAATTTCCCACATAAATCACAATCACATTTGACAAATTTTGTGTCCCTTAATATATTTTTAAAACTAAAAAAGAATTATTCTTTCGATGGGAGTCAGTGTAAGATAACTTTCTTAATTCAATGGTCGCCATTTTTATACTGCGGTGCAGAATTACACAAAAATCTAGGACAATACAAAAATCTTGGAAAATGATACTGTAGCCTTCAAATTATTATAAAAATCTCATGACATCACATTGTTGACAGATATGAATAAAAAAAATAAATAAATTGTATCAGAATGTGGTCAATTAGAAAATAAATTTGACTTTTGAGCGTGTTCCAAGACAAAGGCTACTAAATTCTGACAAAGCTGCCTTACTCTACCGAAGATTTAGATGTAGGACCCTGATCGGGATCACTGCGATCTATTTGAGGCAAAGAAAGTCCGTAACCGCAGTCGCATTTATGCTTTGTCCTATTATATGTGTATACTCAAAAGAGTCCTCTTTTGTAGTGCGCCCCTACCGTACCACAGCTATAATCCCCAGAGTTCGCACGCTCCCTTAGTGATAGTTTTCCCTTAGTACCGTACAACCTCTAGGTACGATGTTATACCTGGGGATTGGGAAGTGCAGTAGTCGCTGACAATTCTCACCGTACGATGAGTCAGTATGGTTCGACTGTCTGGTGTGGGTGTCATATTTTATCAACAAATTTACAGTTACTGACATATATGCAGCCTCTTCTCGGTTGATACGTTGATAAGCCTATCCGATCCATGGTCCGATCATTGTCCTATATACCCATATAGGACGTTCATATTAGCCATTGAGACGTGTAGTGAATGAGAATGCAGTAACGTACAGAGATGAGAACTGCTCCGTCTACCGCGTACGCGATCTCACAGTCTCAGCATGGAAATTATTAGGGAAAATGATTAGTTAACATTATTTTAACACTAGTGATAACTTCGCGACAGAATCGCACAAAAATCTAGGAACATAACATTCAAACGAAGTATTATTTGCCATATGATTCAGTTTAAAAAAAATTTACAAAACCCGGACGCCATTCTGAGTGTTACATCATACAAACGCAAGTAGATAAAGAAAGTCCAGTTTATAGCTCAGTTTTGGAAAATTATAATGTTAGTCTCATGTAAAGGACGTCACAATTTAATTAGATCAGACACAATTTCTCCAGGCTAGGCTAGAAAAGACCTTGTCTATCTACTACCAATGTAAAGGTGCCTTCATTATTCAATTACTAAAAAAATTATTAGTAGAAGTTTTATTGTTCAAAAAATAGTTAGTGGCCAAATTTTAAACGCGAACTATATAACATGCCACTTGATAATTATACAGGTAACCGTAATGCTTCCTGTAAACTAAATTACAGTTATAAATTACTCTTACTTACCCTGAGGTTTACTGTATAAAACTCTGGCGAGAGTTAATTCTGAATGTAAACCACACACAAAGCAATATATGCTACTTCCTGAAGCGGGATTGCTATTACTACAAACAGTTCTATCGCTGTTCGTGCTAGGCGGTGTCGGGATGCCTTGGTCACCGTTCGTCGCCGTTTCGGGCATAGGAATGTCATACCTGAAAATGATTAAGATAACCATTAACACAATCAGATCAAAGATAAACTAATGTACAGTTAAACGAAAGACTATTAAGTCATAGAAAGAAAAAATTGGATTGCCATCAATTTTATTAAGCTTTAAGTTTATATTTTTTGAGAAACTTTTTCTTTTTCATACGAACAGGTTCAGTTAAAATTAAGTATTATTAAAAGCTTTTTATTTTAGTTGATATTTCGACAGGTAATCCTTGTCTTTATCAAATTATATCTAAAATGTATCTTACGTTTATCATAGTGTTGGGAAAAATTAATAAAAACTTACCATAAAAAATAAATTAGTTTTAAAAAAATCTCTTGTCAAATTTATTTTGTCTACTTGACATTCAGTCTAAACTACATTTATTTTACAAATTTCTAACTGTAAACAAACGCACGGGAAAGTCAAACAGGGTCGTACTAAGGTGTATTATATGATTTTTTAAAATATTTACTTTTGAAACTATTAGTGTAAAAATTTCTTGAAATTTAATCATTGTGAGCAAAATTTAAAATTCCATTGAAGAAAAATGTCATCATTTTGGCTTTACAACCCTGTGTGGGTCCTAGCCTCCCCAAGAATTTTTTTCTAGTCGTCCCTATCCATCGCCTTCCTCCGCCAAGCACGTATTTCCATATTTCTCATATCTTGATCTGTTATCTAAGAATTTTGTTCTGGGTCTTCTTTGACAAATAGGTATATCAAGAAACGTTTTTCTAGCAGGGTCGGTTTGCTCCATCCGCATTACATGGCCTACCCACCTCAGACGTCCTATCTTAATGTGTTTTACGATATCTGGTTCCTGGTATATTCTATAGAGATCGAAGTTGTATCGTCTTCTCCAGACACCATTTTCATTTACTCGCCTTAGTATTTTTCTTTCGAAACATCCTATAACATGTTTTCATTGCTTTTTGTTAAAGTCCAGGTTTCTGAACCATATGTTAGGACTGGGCGTATTATTGTTTTGTAGAGTTGTAATTTTGTATTTCTTGATATAACTGTAGATTTTGGTGTCGACAATGTTGCCGTAATTTCATATTCATGAACCAAATTGCGTACACTACGGCTACACACGCCTACAATAGATAAAAAGTAGCAATATTTGTTAAATAAAGTGAAAATTTGCTACTCTAATAGAAATCGCACTTTTCGATATTGTAGGGTTCTCCTGCATTTCCGTCTTAAATACATTTATAATTATTTCCTTCGTTTTTAAGTCCAGAAATATTCCATTCACTCACCATAAAGCCTCCCCAAAGAACAGCTTGGATTAACATGACATTTGGCATACACATAGCTAACATTTTAAATAAAAAAAATTATATTGTGCCGATGTGTTTTTGGCCTAGGGGTGAGTTTCACCCATTCTCAGGGGTGAAAAAACATACTTTCAAAATAAGTCAGGAATTGGATAAACTGACTAATTCTAAGCAACCTTTGTTCTATAAAGCAAGCTTTGTTCTTTTCGAGTTGTTTGCGAGTGAATATGTTCATTTTTCAAGCACAAAAAAAACAAGGTTTTTAGACGGTTTTTGCAAATAACTGAAAAAGTAAGCATTTTATCGAAAACATATTCTTAGCCAAAATATAGCTTATAAAATAGAAAAAAAATGGTGTACGTATAAAGTCATAAACACATTTGTAGCTAATGAAAAGTAGGTTCTTATCCGTCAAATTCCATATCGAATATTGCAACGTGAAAGAATAAAAAAACAAGCACTTTCCCACACAGCGAGTTTTCCCCGAAAAGTGCTTAATTTTTTTTATATTTCTCGTTGAAATAATTTGAATTACTTTTCATTAGTTACAAGTCTACTTTTACTGAGTCTACAGACTTCATATAGGTATAAGCACATCATTTTTTTAACTTTTTTTTTTTATTTTTGCTAAGAATATGTTTTTCGACAAAATAAATACTTTTTAAGCGATTTGTGGAAAACCGTCTAAAAACCTTGGTTTTTGTTGTTGTTGAAAAATGAACATATTCACTCGCAAACAACTCGAAAAGTATTGACTCAGTGAAAAAACTCTATAGAACAAAGGTTGCTTAAAATTAATTAGTTTATCCAATCTCTGACTTATTTTGAAAGTATGTTTTTTCATCCCTGAGAATGGGTGAAACTCAACCCTAGGGCAAAAAGACATCGGCACAATATAACTTTTTTTATTTAAAATGTGAGCTATGTGTATGTCAAATGTCATGTGTCAAACTTTATTAAAGTGATTACCGCAAGCCATTTTTACTTTTGATTAACAAATACTTTGTTTTTGAATACTAAAAGTTCACTACACACTATAAAACTTAATACTAAACCCTTTAACTAAACTCTAAAAAATAACACGACCAGTAAATAACTTAATAATAACTATAACATAGAACACACAATATATTAACTTAAAAACCAACACACAATTTGACACACAATTTGAATTTAAACAGACTGACAAGTTTGGACCTGTAAAATGAGAATCCGTCTGGCTTAAGGCAATAAATTATATTTAATAGCCTCTTGACGAATGAGAGGGCGAATATTAACACGTGCGTTTGTTTACAGTTGGAAATTTGCTGAATGAATGTACTTTACATTTTCTTGATGTAAATCAGTGGTTAATTGGAAAATAATATGTCCTGATGTTTTTTCTTTGGTATTTAGTAAAAGGTCAGTTGCAAAATGTTAAAATAACTTTTATTTTATGTATCTTTTGTCATTAATTATTAGGGAAAAGTAACTCACTCACCTTCGTCTTTCAAGCGGAACTCTGTCAATTTCGAAAGTCTCCCACTGTTGAGCCAAATGCTTAACGCATTTAGTACAGCTCAAAACTCTTCCGTGAGAATCCATACAACTATTCTCCGATGATCTTGATACTTTATTTAAACAAGGAAAATGCATTGCATGTGAGTTCATACCCTCTGCAGAAGTACTGACCCATTCCATTTGATTTCTAGTATACAAGCCCATGCAAATGTAGCAACGATAATTTTGATTGCCGGGTTGACCGTTTAGATCTGGGGAAGGAGATGTAGTGCGTGTTGAGATTATCGGCTGAAAAAAAAAACATATTTCTATTATAATTGTTAATCTAATTTCATGTTTTTCTAATTGTAAAATTTGACGTTATAGCTACTGTAATGGCTATTGTGTGTATTTTTTTTTTCAAAAAAAAAAAGATTTCATTATTCTTTAGATTAGGGGTTTTTTAAATTCGATCGAGAACAGCCCACTAAAAAAATGAGGGAATACCCCTTTCATTTGCCACATAATTTAAACTTGAATGTTTATTTTAGCTGTAGGTATAGTGTATATCTGTATAAAAAGACGAAGCCAGAGTATGCTATGCAATAAACATTCCTGTGCTTCTAAGATTAATCAATTAACACATAAAAAACTTAAAATATGTTTAATGGTTTTTTAGTCACTTTTATAACATATGTGGGATACTTCTTTGTCAATAATGTAATAAAACTTTTGTGTGCCCTAATACTTAATACACAGCATATCGTGATGATATTGGAGATTTTAACATTAACAATTTAGACTATTAAAAAAATAGGACTGTAAAAATATTTTAAATTTAGAATAAGCCAACCCAAAAACTAATGTAATAAGGAATCAACTATGGTTTGCTAATGAAATAGGTGACGTAATTTAATGTCCAAATTATTTATATGATTTCAAGAAGGACCTGTCCGATCCTTAATAATAAATAAGAATATAGGCCGCTTGGGACACCCCCTATACTCCTATTCTGACGTCACAAGCCCCCCCCCACAGATATCAAAGATCATGTCCAAGCCCAGCCCACTGAAGACTCAATCCCCGCCCCTTCACCATTTCGGCTGTCACAGTTCTTCTTTTTGTCTGTAAAGTCATCTTTACCGCAGCCTTCACACATAAAATCGTTCGATTTTATGTGTTTAAAATTAAATTGCATGTACACTGAGTATATTATTATGGTTTTTGGTATGCAATGGATATTATAAACAAAAATCAATCAAGATAATCTATTTTAGGAAGATCCTGCCATTCGATTTTAATTTACGTGTCCATCATTTAAAATTATAGAAATTTTTGTAAAACATTACTACTTACTTTTAAACTTTGCCTGTTGTCAAATATAGCCTGTTTTTTCTTGTTGGCCATGGAAGGTGAAGAATTGATATCGTACGGTTTATACCTAATATCAGATCCTGCGCTGTTAGCTGGAGATTTTACAGTACTGGGCCTAGAAGAATTACTATTGTGTAATAAGATGTCATTGACGGACATGTGGTTTCCTGTTATGGCCGCCGGATCACCACCGAATACCTACAAACAAAACGAAATAGAATTGTGTAATAATAACTAAAATTAAAAGTAATAAATTATATATATATATATATATATATATATATATATATATATATATATATATATACCTTTGTGTAAATAATATACGAATAGGAAGAATCGGGGGGTCAGCTAATTGTGCTGTTTCACTTTTCCGTGGATATGGAGCTTGAGCTGGAAAGACTGCTACCAAGGAACGTAGAGAAGCAGCAAGCTTGTTTCTAAAAAGAACTGTCACAAACGAATGGAACCACCTTTCATATTAGACAATATACCTTCATTAAGAGCTCTGCCGGTACGAAACCTTATCATAGGACCAGAATGGACAAACTCAATATTATTTAAAAAACAGGAGACTCCAAAACTAATAAAACTACCTCCAAAATGGATGTACAGCGGACTCAAGTATTATTACTAGTCTGTACAACATCGGAACAAAAGAAACCACGTTCGAGAAGAATTTCCCTCTTCTTATAGAAAATGATGTAATCTTTATTTACGGACTTGCCATTTTTTTACAAATCAACTTAAATTTAGCTTAAACTATTAAAACACAATGTGATTACATAAAAAGGTATTTTCGATCTTATTCTTAATAGTATTTAGGGCCGGTTTCACCAACAACAAATAAATCACTGAATAGTTAATCGTCGAATAACATTTATTAGTAGAATAAATTTTATTCCGTTTCAATAACTGTTTGTAATCCACAGTTAGTTATTCGTCGAATAAGTTCAAAGTGTAATGATTTTCCACAGACTGTACTCGTTGACACCTCTCTTGGTCTCCACCTCTTAGGTGTTTGGCCAGGCACATCGCACTATTTTTCACTGTAATCATATACATAACCTATAATATTTGATATTGGTTGATTAATTTGTCAAAATAATAATAATTGTCAATGCCAATGGTCATTACCTATTTGAAACGATCCTGTTGCATAAAAACGCACAGCAATTAACAATCGATTTCTCACATCTATGGGTCTATTTTTGTTGCTTACAGGATGCAATTTGTTACCGATCAAATTGAATAAATGATCTACTGAATTTTTTAATAATCTAAACCTAGTTTTAAAGTCCACATCATCAAATTCAGCAAAAGGGTTTCTTTTTTGCAGCTGCCAACAGCGTGGTCTTCTCCTTCGCTGCTCATTTCCGTCATCAGAGGATGATGATGATGAAGATAATATTCGAAAATAAATATATATATATATATATATATATATATATATATATATATATATATATATATATATATATATATATATGTATACAAAATTAAATTGTCTGATATAATTACGTTAACCTGCAATACATTGTTGATAATTTCAAGTTAAACTAATGAATTTTCTTTATTATTGATATTAAAAGTGAGGTTAGCTGTCAACTTATTCGAAGAATAAATATTTATTTGGCCGATATTGGACTAATAACTTATTTGGAGTTTATTCATAGAATAAGTCTTATTTGACGTTAGTGAAACGCAGATATGTCAGTTTTATTGGTCGAATAACTTTATTCATTGAATAGACTGCTATTTGTCGTTGGTGAAACCGGCCCTTAGTGATAAATGAAAAAAATCATTACCTACTATTAAATTTATTTGCATTTCAACACATTCGCTGTAAGAGTTTATTTACAGTATAAGTTCAATTATAAAATTCTAAATAAAATAAGTTTTGGGATCTGGTGTACAGGGAGTACAGAAGTGAAAATATTTTCTAAAGATCACTAGCATCAATGCCTCCTCATATTAATTTATATATAAATGCTACATCTAGCAATATTCGCCTTTCTTCAAGAGTAATTTAAGTAAATTTAAGTAAATATTGCAAATTTAAGTAAATATTGCAAAAAAATTACATGAAAGAGAGTCAAAAATACCACTTTCAATAATGTAGAAGGAGAAGGCTGGATGATATTAATGATCAGCAATTTTTAAATCAATGTTATTTATACTAGAAAAAATAATATTTAAGAAAACTTTCTGAAATACATTCAACTTTGTTAGCAATATTTCCAATCGGTCTTGAACCATATTCATCATTTTGCCAATGAATATTTGGTAGGTTAAAATCACCAAGTAGATATGCCAAACTGTACTGTGTTTCATATAAAATACCTTCTACACAATTTACATAGTCTTCATACAAACATAATGGAGAGTTTGAAAGTAAACAAACCCATCCCATAAGGCACTTTTGTTTTCCAAATGAAAGTTCAACAAAAATAAGTTCCCCGTAAAAATAAGCTTTAAGGCGAAATAAACCCCATGTGATAATACTAAGGTTATTAGCAGAAGACGAAAATTGGGCGTCGCTGATAGAAAAAATAGAATACCTTAGAATACACACAACGACCAAATATCAAAGAGAATAAAAAGAAGAATGATTTGTGGCTAATGAACATAGTTCGAAGCATCGAGCAAAAAGACAAAAGAGGGAATCTAAACCTTATGAAAAGGAGACAAAAAAAGTGGTCTCTGATGGCGGACGTATCCGGAAATGCGAATGCGCCAAATTTAAATTTTTCGACACTTACTAACAGTAGCTATATAATATTTTTCAGAATGTGTCTTAGACGAGAAAGTTTTAATTAATTATTAACGATAATAGTCTGAAATGCGACACAATTGTTAAAAAACTTCAATATAAATACGATTTCATGTGACATTTGGGACAAACAATAACATAACCCAACTAAATTTGATGTCAAACAAGGAGAGAGACTCTCTTTCCTTGTTTAATGTGGCCTCTAAAAATCGCACTACCTGTCTAACAATATTTTTGCCCCCACTACCTTTACATTCCCTCTTTTATCTTTTTGCTCGATGGTTCGAAGACAAACCTCTCCACACACAGATAGATAAAAAAAGAAGAATAAAGTAAATTCTGGAATTGGCATAAAAGTATGTAAGGTTCGGTTCCATGGCAATTAATAATAGGAAAAGTTTTGAGTTAGTAGGAGTTCAGTTTGGCGAGAAGTGATAATTTACGGTAATGATTTTGTTATAAACGATAATTTGTTAAAAGTTGTATTTTAAGAAATTCAATAAGGTTTCTATATTGAAACAACTTTTATTTATCCACGGAAACGACTTCTTTGGCAGCAGCTTTCCGAAAAAATCGTTACAATATTATCTAAATATACTTACTTGATGTTTATGTGGAATTGACTTGTAGCAAATTGAACACACTTGCACCATCCCTTGAGGACTAATTGGACTTGCTCCCGGAGGTGCCTTCAAAGTCTGAATGAAAGGAAAATATGGCTCCTTTTCCGAATTTTGACAACAATATAGAAGACGGATACTACTGGAAGGATATTCAAGCGAACATGTATAACAGATGAAAGTAGTGGTGTCTAACGTAGAACTCTGCCTTTTTCTTAACGTGTAGTTTCTTTCTATGTGGGGCAGACCTTGCGACTGAAAGTTAGAAAAAGTATGATTATATAGATATTTAAAATGATCTTTTGGATATATTATAAGGACTTCTTCTGTATAGCTACACAAATTTCATGTGATGACTGTATTTAGCTCTCAGCGTAGTATAATATTGTGTGTGCATAGTTAATAATTTGTAGAAATCTAATTTCATGTAAAAAAGAAGAGCAAAGACAGGAGCTCTTAAGAAATAACGAGCAGATTCTAAGCGATATTACTTTGACTGTGCCAATAAGTGAGTGGAAGTCTTTGGTGACTTTTTTTTATAAAAACAACGTACATATGCAAAGAAGTTGTTGAAGAAGTTGAACATGCCTTCAGTTTTAAAGCAAAATAATGTTTATTTGTTGGCAATGACAGAATGGGTAAAAATGTACTCTGCAAAAAAACAAGGGCTGACTTGAAGGTCGTTAAAAACATATCGAAAGCTTTCCTACTATGGAATTCAACGATACTAGAAAATCTACGAAGAGGCAGTACTCTCACTGCAAATTGAGTATTGTACCGGGTGGTCCAATAAGCCGATCTCTCGGCTGTATATCAGAAACTATGCATGTTATAACTGTAGGAGAAAAAATTCCTTAGTAAAAGTGACCATGAGAAATCGCTGGAAAGAAATTTCAAGTTTCTGGGTTAACCGCTAGAGGGCGTAACGTATGAAGAAAACTTTGAAACAGTTTTTTGGGAAATATGCCGAATTATACTAAGTGTTAAATAAGTAAACTAGAAAGAGGCCTAAATTCTGCACAAAGTTGTTTAAGTACTTTTTTTTATTTTTTCAAATAAAGGGTAGGGGAGAGTAGGAAAGTATTTGTGGATAAATACCTATAACTTTGGTTTAAATCAAACGATTTTAACTAAATTAGTGTCATTAGAAAGAGTGTGGATGAATTAATTCATTCTACTATAAAATAATTGCATTTAGTTTTAATTGTCGTAGGTAGAGGGTACTTTCAAATATAAAAAATTAAAATTTGTTTTTCTTCAAAATGTTTCATGGAAGTACATATTTATTGTAAATTATAATGGAACAGGATTAAATTCGTAACAAAATGGCGCAAACCGCATGTTAATAGCTTTTTTCGAACTCGAGATATAAATAAAAACGCATAAACATCAGTAAGTATAGTATTGACACACCCTGTATTATAAATTAAATTAAAAAGTAAGTCAGTAGGTACTTTCAAATTTTTTTATTGCAGAAGAATCTTAATGTTGATACCTATTTTGACCATTGGTTTTTCATATGATTAAAAATAATTTTTTCGAAACTAAGTAGGCTTCGACAATGAATTTGACGGGGAGTTCATATTATTTATTTATTGACAACAGTCAATACATTGTTAAGAAGTGTTATATTATAATTCGAATTAAAGATTGCACTTTTTTCAATAGATATTAATATTGGTAATATTAATAATTAATTATTAGTACGAATAATTCGTGATGAGTATATCAAATTGTATGATATGATTGGAGTTTATTTCGAATGCTACCAAATGACGCTATTACCTCACGTATTTATTTTGTAAGATATCCTGACAGGAGACAGTATGGCAAAGAAGTATTTGAAAGAAAGGCAACAAGATTAAGAGAAACTGGTAGTTTTTCTCGTCCTTGTTTTAAACGACGTCGTAGAGGTACGACCGAAGATAATTCAATCAATGTTCTTGCTTTAATTCAACAGAATCCACATATAAGTAGTCGGCAAATCTCTACTTCTTTGCCATAATGTCTCCTGTCAGGATATCTTACAGAATATAATATACGTGAGGCAATAGCGCCATTTTGGTGATATTCGAAATAAACTCGAATCATATCATACAATTTGATATACCCATCACGAATTATTAGTACTAATAATTAATTACTAATATTATCAATATTAATATCTATTAAAAAATTGCAATCTTCAATTCGAATTATAATACATATAACACTTCTTAACCATAGTTTATATATAATAGTTTCGAAAAACTATTTTTAATCATATGAAATAACAATGGTCAAAATAGGTATCAACATTAAGGTTCTTGTGCTATAAAAAAATTTGAAAGTACCTACTGACTTATTTTTGAATTTACTTTATAATACAGGGTGTGTCAATACTATACTTACTTATGTTTATGCGTTTTTATTGATATCTCGAGTTCGACAAAAGCTATTAATATGCGGTTTGCGCCATTTTGTTACGAATGTAATCCAGTTCCATTATAATTTACAATAAATAGGTGTTTCCATTGAACATTTTAAAGAAAAACAAATTTTAATTTTTTCTATTCGAAAGTAGCCTCTACCTGCGACAATTAAAACTAAATGCAATTATTTTATAGTAGCTGTAAATTAATTCATCCACACTCTTTCTAATGACACTAATTTTGTTAAAATCGGTTGATCCGAACCAAAGTTATAGGTATTTATCCACAAATACTTTCCCACTCTCCTCCACACTTTATTTGAAGAAATAAAAAAAATACTTGAACAAATTTGTGCAGAGTTTATACCTCTTTTTAGTTTACTTATTTAACACTTGGTATAATTGAACAGATTTCCCAAAAAACTGGTTTTCAAAGTTTTCTTCACAGGTTACGCCCCCTAGCGGTTAACCCCCAAACTTGAAAATTATTTGCAGCGATTTATCTTGGCCACTTTTACTAAAGAATGTTTTTTGCTAAAGTTATAACATGAATAGTTTCTGATATATAGCCGAGAGATTGGCTTATTGGACCACCCGGTACACCTTATACCGGAATTTTTAAATATCACGGGTTTGGAGTCTAATCGTCAATTTTTTTGTTGTGACTAAAAAATGATAAAATTTAGCAAGGTGTGTGAAATGTTAACAAAGGCCTATGGTAAACATCCATAGGCCAAGCATAGGTCATTTCCAAGCACATCAAGAACCGATGAAAACGTAAAAAAAGTGACAGAGATGAAATTGACTTATGCCATGATAGTTTTCAAAGGTTTTGGGGTATGAAACGCGTGTGAGCAAAACTTGTTCCACAATTGTTGTTTTTTAACAAAATCATCGGCGAATGGAAGTTGCTCAGGAGTCACTAACTGATGTAAATGACGACCCAGATTTACTCTAAAGCGTTATAACAGGTAATGAAACATTGGTTTATGGATATGACGTTGAAACTAAGATTTAATCGTCCCAGTGGAGGTATTTTGGTTTGCCAAGACCAAAAAAGTGCATTCGAACCTGAAGGTGATATGCTCAATGTGTTCTTGGATTTTAATGACAAAGTGCACCATGAATTTTTGCCACTGCCACGATTTCAATGGGTCAATAAAGAGTACTACTTGCAAGTACAATGCCGTTTATGAAAAAAAAAGACTGGATATGTGGAAAAACAACTCATGGCTTTTGCATCATGATAATGCACCGTCTCACACTTATCTTGTTCGTGAATTTTTGGCCAAAAAGACTACTGTAATTATGCCCCAGCCTCCATATTCACCAGGCATGACTCCGTGCGACTTTTTATTTCCAAAAATAAAGAAAACTGTAAAGAGTCTTTGATTCACAAGCATAGATGACATTAAAAGCTTGCAAGTTTAAGCGTTGGCAGAAGCGTTGGCATAAGTGCATAATATCTGATGGGAACTACTTTGAAGAAGGCAACATTAATGTAGACGAATAAACATTTTTTTCAAAAAACATAAATTCTGTGTATTTTTTTAACACACCTCGTATAAACAGATGTTATAAACGTATAAACAGGTTATGCGAAAGAACGGTTTTTACATGATCAAAAAGAACATGAATTGAGCCCAAAAAGAAAGTAACTATATGAGCTGCACTTATTAAGTACAAATTATATAAGCTGCACTTTCTGCTACTCTAAATTCTAAGTACATATTAATGTAAGTCCGATGTATTATAGCTGTAAGAATTTTATTGTACTTGTAACATAATGGTGTATGACTTGGCAATAACTGCTTTCTATGGACCCAGCTAAATGGAAAAAGAGGAAGCGTGGAAATCGGTACATGCCTATTACGGCATATCATATATAGGAGAGCTTTTTACAGCTAGGTCCTTTCTCAAATCCTAATTTCCAGCGTTTTCTGTCGAAGTAATATTCCGTTCTTAAATCTCTCATCTTCATATCATCTGGACCGTCGTGGTCTACCTCGTTTGCTTCTAGTGGGCGGAGTCCATTTTTCTATCTTTTTGGCTATCTATTTCAGGCATTCCCTGCAGGTACCTATACCAGTTTAATCTTTTGGCTTCAATTGTGATTATTACTTCTAAATCAATTTTTCTTTTGAGTTGTTTCTTTGCTTTAGTTCCCAGAGTTACCCTTTATTAATGCGTTAAAATTAAATCTTTATAAATTCTTTTTTTATTTTATTACTCCACACTAGCTTGTGTATTTGTCTAGTGGCCGATCTTGCTTGACCAATCCTGGAATGTATTTCTTCGTTACTCTCTACTTTTAATGTTATTTGGACTTCAGTTATGTTATACAGACCAAGTCTCTGAAGATTTAAGTTGATTTTATAGTTTTAATTTCAATTTGTACGCTTTCTTGTTTTTCTCCTGCAACTAAGTACTCGGTTTTTTGTACATTAATTGTAAGGCCCCACTTAGTGTATTCGTCTTCTAGTTTTCTAAGCATATGATCTATATCACTCTCGTCTTAAGTTAGAATGTTTTGGTCGTTAGCGATGTGTATCGTGTACAATCCCTAGTCTTCGGTTAAGATGCCCATATTGCAGCACTTTTTTCGCCACACTGAGCCCCCCATTCAGATACTTGTTTATTCCTTGGTTTCCTATTGCTACCCAGAGTATTGAAAATGGTACACTATCGTATGCCTTTGTCAGATCTATGAAGACTATATGAGTTGAAAAGTTGTGGACTAATCTTTTCTCAATAACCAGCTTTACAGAAAATAAGCTCTCTGTAGGAGCTGTTTGCACGAAAGCCATTTTGTTCTTTATATGTCATCTCTTTTTCAATTTTATTTTTTATTTGAGTCTTAATAAGAGTCAATTTATGACACTTAGCCTCTAGTTTGAACATTTCTTTTTTGCTGTGGGTCATAAAATGCAAATATCTAATATATAATATATTCACTTTAGTTATTAACGAAGAACTAGATAATTGTTTAGATGTTCTTAAGTTGCTTTTTTTATGGTTTCATGTTTTTTACGGTTTATCAGTCTTATTTTGTGTATTTGTCAAAAAAGGGCAACAGATCCCAAATGCTGTAAAGGTAACATTACAAATATTTACTCCAAAGACAGTAAAATAATTTAAATGTTCCTACCTGAAAAGCATGCCACTGTTTAAGCAAATGTTGTTGACAGTCGTAGCAAGCCTGAACCCTTCCCGCCGAATCAATCGGTCGACTTCTGCTAGGCCGTGGATGTTCAATTAAACTAGGAAAAAACGGCTTCAAAGGTGAATCGAAATCTTTCTTGGAAGCCACGAAATCGAGACTACCCTTTTTGAATTCGTCTCCGCATACGTAACACACTTCGGTCATTGAGTTCTTGTCGGGCATACTCAGATCCAGAATATCCGTGCCTGTTGAAGAGTTGGAATTTTGGCTGTGAGCGTAGACAGGTACAGATTGGATGACAGATGAAGGCATTGGATTTGGATGGGTGAGGTCTAGAGCGCTTTCCGATGTTGTGTCAATATCACTTCGGGGTGTCGATGATACAGGTATCTGTAAAATAAAAATGTATGGGCTTAAAATACAATCTAACTAAAATTCTCTAACTAATAATTCTAACGTAGATTTAATTCTAATGCTGATTGAACTAATAATAGTTTAAACAATATAACGGTACACAGGTGGGTCGCTTAGAGTTTGTTCGTAGACTTATTGATAGTAGGTACTTATAATTCCTTTTATATTCCTTTAGAAGATTCCTTTAATATAGACCTAACGAAAAAAAATAGTAATTTAAGAAGGCCATGATATCACTTATTTCTACGACCCGATAGTAGCCTAGGGATCATGCTGAATTACGTGACATTTATGATTTTACATCATCAATATAAAGTTTGGTTAGACCTATGTTTAATACAAGATTTTTAAGTAAAAATAAGTAAAGTAATACTGGTATTCAACACAGCAATTATTAACTAATATTACTATCACTGAGTATTTTAGTTTATAAGAAATAATGAAGGAAATTGGCTTTGAAATGGCATGGGTTTGACTGTCATTAGTACATTCTTTATGAAGACTTAAGACCAGTATGTTATCTATACTAGTGGGGAAAGGGAAAGTCAGATAAATTTTGTGCTGTGTAGAAGTCAGCTAAAAGAGGTTACGAACTGTAAAGTGATAAAGGGTGAGTGTAGTGAGTAAGCCATCGAGCAATAAGACAAAAGAGGGAATGTAAAGGTAGTGGGGGTAAACATATTGATAGACAGGAAGTGCCATCTTGAGAGGCCACTTTAGACAAGGATAGACAGTCTCTTTCCTTGTTTAAGAAGTCAAATTTAGTTAGGTTATGTTATTGTTTGTTCCAACTGTCACATGAAATTTTATTTATATTGAAATCTTTTACCAATTGTGTCACTTTTTAGACTATTATAGTTAATATTTAATTAAAACTTTCTCGTCTGAAAAATATTTTATAGCTATTGTTAATAAGTGTTGGAAAATTTAAATTTGGCGCCTTTGCATTTCCGGATATGTCCGCCATCAGAGGCCACTTTTTTGGTCTCCTTTTCATAACGATTAGATTCCCTCTTTTATCTTTTTGCTCGATGGAGTAAGCAGTTGGTCAACACAGACCGGTGATAGTGGATACGGAGATAAAAGTAAGTCAGAAAGGAAAGCAAGTAGGACACTAGAAAGTAAAGTGGTGGAAGTAAGCATTTTGGCAATAGTCTTTAAGAGTAGAGTGCTGTAAGAGCTTTAGGAAAAAGATATGGTAAACGACTGGTGGAAAGCCAACAGTAAAGTTGTGGTGCGAGTGGGAGAGGAAGTGTTAGAAAAAACATCTGGTAAAGGGCCTCCTAGAGACAAAGAAACTTGGTGGTGGAACGATGAGATGCAACAGAAGGTTAGAGAAAAGAAATAGGTATGACGGGTCTAAAAGAGAGGAAGATAATGATATGTACAGGGTGGCAATGGGAGAAGCAAAGGGAACTGTAGCTAAGGAAAGATCGTCTGCACAGCAGTATGAAGAGTTGGAAACGTCCGAGGGGATGAAAAGGTAATACAGCACTGCTAAAGCAAGGGACAAGTCATCAAAGTGCGGATGGAATAGTGTTAAGAATCGATGTTGAAATAAAATAAAGATGGTATGAGTACATTAGTAAGTTACTAAATGAAGAACACCAGAGGAGAGAATAAAGATATTATTGAACATTTGGGAGAGAACTGTAGAACAAAGATTAAGGAAAGAGACATCGATAGAAGAACAGTTTGGGTATATGCCAGGAAAGAGGACAACGGTTGCCTTGTTTGCATTGAGACTTGATATAGAAATACAGCTAGAAGAAAAGAGAGCTACATTAGGGAGAGCTTGGCTACCTTGGCTCTTACATAACGGAAAATGGGCCACTAGTTGGGTAGAAGGAACAGGATCAGAAACGAGTTGATTAGGAAAAGAACCGCGGTGACTACAGTCTCAAAAAGATTCAAGAACAAAGACTGCAATCGCTTGGTCGTGTCAGACATACAGATGAAAAATATGTGTGACGAAGGATAGAGCTGTTAGAAGTTGATGGAAGAAGAGGTAGAGGAAAACCGAGGAGAAGATGGAAGACATGTGTGGCAGAGGACTTGAGAAAGAAAGGGTTAGGAGAAGAAGACCCGATGGACAGAAATGAGTGGGCTGAAAAGGAAAAAGCTGAGGAAGAAGAAGATGATTGCTATTACTGAGTTTTTTATGACAGAATAAAAAGCATGAACCCTGAAAACTCATCTCTTAAATCCTAGATATAAAGATTTAAACATGTGCAATATTTTGTACGGCTCTATATAAAAAATTTCATTTATTCATCCAGTTTACAACCTTAACAGCACCAATTCACGACACATAAAAATACACTTTTACAATTTTAGCATAATTTTTAATATTTCATTGTTGGGTATCTATCAGTGATAATTAAACTAAAATAATCAAACTAAAATTATTATGAAAATCATGAAAAAATTCCAATCATAAAATGTTAATATTAAAACCTCTAGTATACATTAAGACCACAATTATTACAAATAATGGTGTGATCATATCCGATCAGAGATATTGCTGTATCAATTATTAGGAGACTGCAACTTTGATATGTTGAAGTATTTTTGTTCACTAACATGTCATTCTAATTTTAATTTAATACTGAAATAAAATTTCCACCAATATATTATATTGTAAATAGGTTTAATTTAAAATAAATCGTACATGAATCTATATTAATAGATATATGTTCTTACCCTGTATCTTGCAGATTTTGCCATTTTTATGTATGTGTGTAATAAAAAGTTAGTAGTGCATGGATCCTCCAGATTGGTCTTCATTATATACCACTAAATTTATCCTCTATACCGTTAATTATAGATCCATAAAGAACTTTAACACTTTATGTCTTAAAACTGATAAAAATATATTAAGGCTGTTTTCGCAGTTATAGCATACTGCGATTTGAAGTGGGCGTATCACTTACTTTTCTACACTGCTATGTCAGACCCATCGAGCAATAAGACAAAAGAGGGAATGTAAAGGTAGAAGGGGTAAACATATTGATAGACAGGAAGTGCCATCTTGAGAGGCCACTTTAGACAAGGATAGACAGTCTCTTTCCTTGTTTAAGAAGTCAAATTTAGTTTGGTTATGTTATTGTTTGTCCCAACTGTCACATGAAATTTTATTTATATTGAAGTTTTTTACCAATTATGTCACTTTTTAGACTATTATCGTTAATATTTAATTAAAACTTTCTAGTCTGAAAAATATTTTATAGCTATTGTTAACAAATGTTGGAAAATTTAAATTTAGCGCCTTTGCATTTCCGGATGTGTCCGCCATCAGAGGCCACTTTTTTTTTCTCCTTTTTATAACGATTAGATTCCCTCTTTTGTCTTATTGCTCGATGGTCAGACCGTACGCCGTACGTGACTTCCTAATAGTTTGTATGTTTATTCAGTGGCGCCGGCCCACGGGTTGTTTAAAATAAATGCATTATTCTCCATTCAAATTAGTTTTGTCGGAATACTTTTTTTTGATTAATTATCGTAGATAATGTTTCAAAAAGAATTAATCACATTTTTAATTTATATGTCTTAGCTAAACATAGTATTAAATAAAAATTTGTGAAACGTGACTGCAAAAAACACCATGGTGTTTATTTATAATAAATTTAAAATAACATACGAATATTATTATCAAAAAAATTACAATTTGTTGTCACAAACAAATAAACAATTTCGCAGTTATAGCTTGAAAATTATTTTAAGAAGTTATTTATTTGTTAGAGAAAACTGATATTAGCGTAGTAAGAATTAAACAAAAAATAGTTTTATTTATCTATAAAAAATTGGTACCTGCGAAACCATCATAATAGTAAATGTATTTATCTGGCAAGTATTTCGAGGCGACGCACTGCAAGGAAAAAGTTCTCTGAATGGAATATACATTATTTTAATATACATATTTATAGGTTGCAGTTACATAAGAAAAGTATCCAATTGATGAATAAAACACAAATCGTGGATAGTTATTTCATCATATCAGTGGCATTACAGCTCGTCATGAGCCAAAGGCTTCTTCAGAACAATCTTCCATTCGCCCCTGCCTCTGGCAACTTTCTCCATGCTTTAACTCCGATGGATTTTAGATCATCCTCTATGTTATCTTGATACCTAAGTTTTGGTCTTCCTCTGGATCGTCTTCCCACTGGTCCTCTTCGGTCGAAAATTTTTCTGATCGTTTCATCTTCATCTCGCCTAATTACATGTCCTATCCATCAAAGGCGTACTAATTTAATAAATTTTACAACGTCAGGTACTACACCTGAAGAAGCATCGTAGTTTACTTTATACGATCTTTTTGACCAAGCACCATCAGCTATAACGGTTATTAACCCATTTCCGTCGGAATCTACTTCACCAATTTCTTTGGCTAAAGCTAATTCCTCCCGTCCAGCCTCTTCTAAGGAATCACAAAGTGTTTGGCCGATGATATCTGCAACTGTTTCCGTATGTTTTGCATACTGCCTGTAGGAAATCACAGGTATATTTAATGCAGCGTGCTGCTGCTGTATGTCTGAATAACCAGAACCATTCAAGTTCAGTGAATTGTTACCAGAATCCTATGTTGCTATCTCCTTTTCAATATTCCACATTTGACATTTAAAAGTCAATGTACTTATCAATCCGTCCATTTTTTCTTTGATAATCTCCATATTAGAAAAGTTGCATGAAAATGGAGAATGATTATTCAAACCTTGAATAGATATATATATATATATATATATATATATATATATATATATATATATAAGTTAAATAAAAGCTTTTAAAAACGGTTGTAATATAAATAATAAATACTAAAGCAGTGCAATTGCTCTCCTTTTCCTTGACATAGGACGTTTACTGGGACTCATTTTTTAACTTCTCTTATAACGTCTCTTATAACTTATATCACTAACCTAATGTAATACTTAAAAATACGCGTAAACTAAAGAACTTTTAACTTATACCACTAAACT